GCTCTGTGTTAGTCGATTCGCATTGTATGAACTCCTCGAATCAAAAAATAGATCCAGTCGCTTTGGCAGACATTAGTTCGGTAGGTCTCTATGATTGCGGAATATCAGCCCTAATCCCTAGCGCATTATTATTATTATGAAGCGACTTGCGCTGCACCAGCCTCACTGTTTTCTCATTTACATTCCGCTCCGACGGCGAACCAGTGTTAACACGAGTGTTAGTGCTCTCAGGAGACGTGTCTGATCGGGCAGTCAGAACGAAGTAAGGAGCAGACGCGAGAGCGCCCATATCAGAAAACAGGGAGTATAATTAGATGGGCATACAAATTTCCGGAGACAAAATTTATAAGCAGTACCAAAAAAGGTACAGCTGGCGTTCTAACCAGGCAAGCGTTAGTTGAAATGCATGCGCTTGGACCTATTTTTTAGTAGTGGCCAATCAGTGTAGAGGGATATATCGATCGACGTCACGACATCGCAAGCGGGAGGTCGAGTCACGCGTGCTATGCGGACCAAAGGCGATATGGTTTAGCGGCGGAATGGACGGCCGTGAGGGCGACCAGCTACAAGTTTCCAGCTTACGAGACAACTCGGTACGCTCTCGGAACAGACCACAATAACCTTTTCCTTCTAGGCGTTTGTGGTAATTTTCAGTTTGGCGCAATGCGAGCCTGTCTTGCTCCTACCACATCAATAACTGTGTCTAAAGTGACTAACTCCGCCCTCGTAAAAGGTTTTCGGCGTCCACCCAACATAACTTCTCTGTTTCCCTGCGCATACTTTTTGCATTAGCATCTCACGCCTCCCCACCTTTACCACAAGCCAACCATAGGCATCTCTCTATCTCCCCTTCTTTCACTCCGCGCGTAAAGCCCCATTTGCCATAGTGGGCGGACGTGAGTTACACTTCCGTTGGCCCAAGTGCTCATCCCATCTGTACAAAGTACAATTCCCATGTTACTGCCATCTATATTCTAGTTACAACCCGGCCTGAGAGTCGTCGTTAAAGTCTACGCATTATTGCAGCCGCTGGGATGCGCACAATCTCACCCCCCCCTGTCGGATTGACTTGTACAGACCCCTGGGACAGGGAGGAAGCAAGGTTTACTGGTCCAACGCTGAGTGCTCTGAGTATATACAATCAAGTTCAGTTTAAAACAATCATGATCTTAGGGGACGACCTCTTTACGAAAGAATGTGCTCTTATGCAGGACTACGGCCCAAGCTGCAATGACTCCTTCTTAATGACACTCTGCTTATAAGAGATTTTAATATCGCGTCTCTTCTTTGTGGTCTGTTGCGACAGCCTATGCTCGTAGGCATGACTGCCTCCGCCTCCAGCTACCTGAACCAACCTTACCACATTTCGCACACCCTACCAGTGTAACACCGAACTCATGCAGTGTCATATATTTTGTCTTATTATTTGAAGTTGTTGGCTGGAGTTGAAGCTCAGTAAGCCTTTTGCAAAAGAAACCTGCAATCTTGTTTATTGAAGGCTTACAGGTGGGATCTGGCCGAGATCGGAGGTTACCGGATATCCAGGAAATTTCCTATGCTATTTAATATCACAGACCAAAACCTCTTGTTTATGCGTGCTACACTATAAACAGCACTGACATAAGCAACAAATTATTAGGGGGGTTTAGCAGATTTTTTGATTTGTGAATTAAATCCCACTTGGAGCGATTTTACCCGCCCAACTTACCACTAGAATGGAATAAACCATTACGGGACAGCAAGCTGACTGCCCAGGCAGGATTTTCTAAGCAAATTCACCAGAATGACTACTAGGCTCACTAAATTATTAAGGTGTTGACAGATTTGCTTAATTCCGTTCAGCCAATTGTGAAAAATACTCGGCCTCGGTGGAAGTCGAACCCACCTACTATAAGGGGCCTTAGGCAGACCCAGCGAGGCGCCAGCAATAACTCCTGTTGTAGCTTCCTTTTTTGTCTTGTATACGCTGCTAGAATAAGTCAGTATACTTCACCGCTTCCATCCTCTTTGTTGAGTTCTGATTTACGAATTCGGTCGAGGCGAGTTTTTGGAGGGGCAACCACTGCAGCGTGAGGCAAACTCACAAAGGACCCCATTTCAAAGCGGGAACGTCTCTGTAGTCGGGCTAGATCGGTGCCCACCCCAAATATTATCAATTTCAGTCGACGCGACGTCGGCTTCATAGGACACGAATAACAAGTAAGGCGGGGCCCGTACTTTACTTGCTCTGCCGAAACCTCCCGCGTGTCTTTGTCGGTCAATCTCATTGAGTTAGTTTAATAACTGGCTGCCAATTAGCCGGCCAATGAAAAATTCCTGTTGCACAAATAATCGGATTGGATGTTGCCGGTCTTTGCAGGTTGCTGGGCTCTGTCACCAGCAACTTGCTTTTAGTTTCCCGATATTTTTTGTGTTAAGATCCGATTCGTACGGCAGCACCGGCGACAACAACTACGCTGGAAAACTAACTGAGAAGCCGCAAACGTCCCCACAGGAAGACTAACTGGAAACTGGGAGACTGAAACCCAATTTTCGAACAACAACAACCCTTGTGGAAGAGACCGATTACATAATTGACTCAGTGGAGCACTCTTTCTTGAAGTAGATAGTTGAACGACTGACAGACTCACACAACTGCATCAAAGGAACCTAACTAATCCCAGCCTTCCATCGCGGCAAGCAAATTTGATCTTAGGCCTCTTTTGGAGATCACTTACGTCTAGTTCGATCTATGGTACACGCAAAGAAGACCTTAGTCAACAATTCTGCCTGCAAATCCTTCCAAACAACATAGCCATTTAGAAAGGACCGTCAAAATGTATGCTTGGAACATTCACATGTTTACAGAAAAAAAATCCTTTAAACAAGGAGAGTTAAAATCTAAGGTAGTGTACCAAACGGGCATTCCAAATAGCTGGACTTCATTGCGTATAAAAGACGCTCTGAAACCGCCTATACAATCTCATTGCGACTTTGACTGGCTTCAGAAGAAGAAGAATCCTCTTGCGCAGCACCCAGTTCGCTGCATTCTTTGACTTCTCCCGATGGAATAACCTCTCCGTTTGTATCTTTGAGCAATAAAAGAACCAGTAGTTGGATGGTCGAAATACCAGCGTATATGGCGACTGGGAGACCGTGCCTGACATCAACATCCAGCCGGTTTATGAAGGGGAAGGCGAGAGCCCCGAGGCGAGAAACCCCTGCCGAGAGCCCAAATCCGCGGTTTCGCTGGAGCGGTGGATAGAGTTCGGGCACATACACAAACAGCATCATTATTCCCGCGGTCTGAACCAGGATGATCAGGTTGCCAAAGACATTCAGCAGGATATCATTCTCCGGCTGGAGGATGAGCGTGTGCAGTGCTGCAACCGACTGGAGGGTGGCTGCCGTGAGGATCAGTCCCAGGAGGGGTTTCTTGCGGAAGCGAAACAGTCTGTAGAGAGTGGCGGAGAGGAAGCAACCTGGCAAATTGGCCAAAGCATTAATGGCTACGACGAGAGAAACGTGGAAACGGATGTGTGTTGAGTAGAAGATCATGCCGTAGAGGCTGATGGTATGACAGGTGAGAAGAACAATCGCGAGGAATGTTGTCCAGACCAAATCCCGATTCAACGGTCTGCAGCAGGGGGAGTGGTGTTGTTTGAGAGTCTGCGTCTCCAGCTTCACATCACCCGCTGGCACACCATTTCCAATTTCCTCCTCCTCATCTTCGGTTTCAGATATCGTCAGCAGGCACGGCGGACCGATCAGTGCCATAAATTCCCGTTCGCTCATGCAAGTCCGTCTATTTGCCTTTTTGGAGAAGAGGTTCGCAAAGCGCAGGTTTGTCCGGTATCCAACGTAAAGGGACTTGCCCGTAGCCTCACTCCTTCCACGGGCTGCCAACCACTTGGGTGATTCTGGGAGCACGAAACAAAGAACGAGCACACCGCTGTTGAGAATGAACATACATCCAGTGAGAACACGCCACCTGTCCACGAAGTAGGCCAGTACGGCTATCAGCATGCGTTGCACAGTTAGCTGCACGATAGAACCAGTGGCATTGAGGATGGATCGATACTTGGCGGTTGTGAGTTCGGCCGCGATGACTGTGGTCACGGCTATACGTGCACTGAAACAAGCCCCAATGAGGAAGCGGGT